GAACTCCGAGGTGCAGGGGTGGCCGGGGGCCGCGCTCTTCCGCCCACCGGTCTTGCAGCCGTTCGCCTTCCTGACCGGGGGCACCGTCTGCTGGGGGAGTAGGCCCTGCTCGGAATCGCTGCCGCTCTCGGAGTCCTCGGAGCTGCCCGGCGAGGCCGCCTTGGGCGGGGGGCTGTCTGGCTGGAACTCCAGCTTGATGCGCTTCCGCGGCGGGGCCTCCCCGTCGCTCCCAACGGCTTCCTCCGACGCCTCCTCGTCTGGGTAGCCCGTTTCGGGGCCACTGGAGTCGCTCTCCACCAGGTGGCAGTGCGACCCCACTTCTGCCACGCTCCTGGGGTAGGACTTGGCGAGGGCCCCCGGTTTGCTGGAGGAGCCAGGCTTGCCCTGGTCCTCCTTCGGCAGGGCGCTCTCTGAAAAGGGGAACACAGGTTGGTTCAGCCAGATACGGAACGCCTGCCCGTCCAGGCGGAAGCTCAGCTCGGCCCTTTCCCACCAGCCGAGGGTCTGGATCCAGAAAGCAACTCAACCAGCCACAGGCGAGAGAGCGGCAGCCAAGACGGGCAGAAAGCTAATTGCCTAGTAAGCAAATTCATTCGCTCTGCCTCTTCCTTTGAAAAGTAAGGCCAACGAATTGTTGTTGGCCCAAGAGAGCTTCCACGATGGTTGGACCTAGAAATTGCACAACCAATTGTAACGTGTGCTGAACTGATGGGGTGTGCTGAACTCATGGCTCACACTTTTGCCGTGGGCCATGAGAGAGGAGCTCTGGCGCGTTCTTGCTTTTGCCTCTGGCCTGCGCGCAAGGCGTGCAGCGAGACGCTGCTTCCGGTGGCACCCTTCCCTTTCCCCCAAAGCCCTCTTCCACCAGCAGGGCACCATCGGAGGGTGGCACCCTCTCCCTGGCGGTTCCAGTACAATCACCTTTGAAATCCGGCCCTGCGCTGGGGGCTTCGGTCTGCCTTGCGGGGATCCCAGGGACTTGGAAAACGTCCAGGGCTATGTTCTTACATTCCGGCTTGCTGGAAAAGATTTAAACATAAACAGAAGGGGGGGAAAGAACATGATTGAGATCATTCAGAGTTTTTACAGAAGAAGCTCCCTTCCTGGAACATGAGAGCCTTTGGGGGGCTGCTGACTCCTGCTCCTAAGTCTGGATCTCAGGGCCCCAAGATGCTGGGCTAAAGATATCTATCTATCCAGGCAGATGATCTGCAGATCAGCGGTGCTGGCTGATAAATCGTTTCAGTCAGCCAGCTGCAACTCAGTACACACACACAATGCACGCAACGCTCGGAGCTCACAGTATTTCTTTTCATTTGGCCTACAACAGCTATCACTTGAAAGCTGTAAATACTTAAAATATATAATCCAAATATGGAGCAGTAACTCCCAACCTGGTGCTTTCCAGGAGAGGATATCTGCAGGAAGGGTCTGCAATATCAAGACCACGACTGCAACCCTGCAATCAAAGCCCTCCCCTTTTACATGCATCGCGCATGTAATACACATCTTAAAAGGGTGGAGTTTCCATTGCAGGGTCAACCTCCCACCCCTTCCCTCCCCAGACACCTGTTTCCTGGTACCCGGAACGCAGTTCCAACGGCCACACAGCCATTGGCCTCGCTGGCTGGCATGGATGGGAAACATCCCTTAAGACGCCCGGCGGGCAACAGGTTAGGGAAGAAAGTTTGAGGCAAAAGACAGCAGAGGTCTGTACTAGCGTGCCACAGCTGACCCCCGGCATTCTCCCCTTTCTGCTGCCATATCCGTATAATGACCCACAGAATTTAAACGTTGGGAGGTCATCCTTGGGAGGTCATCCGGTCCAACCCTCTGCCCAGTGCAGAAATCCACTAC